GCAACGTGTTTGCTCACTTTGCAGTTGTACATACGTGTGAATCTCTTCAATAGCGATACACCATGCTGGTGGGAATTTTATACCAAGCAAAGTAGCACATTTTCGTTTTAGCTGCCAAACTAATACCCGTGAAAATTCCTACGAGGTAAAAATCTTGTTTTTATACAATACAATTTAAAACCAAAGGTATTTTCTAAAAAAGGATTTAGGATTTTGTTTTTTAAAATGATACAGATGGTAGGGGGTGCATTGGACTTTTTTTTTATTATTTTCATGAAAGTATTTTGAGTATCCATCACGATGTTATTAAAAGCAGAATTTTAAATCTTCTTTTAGAAAATCTATTCTTTTATTTCTGTAATCTCGTCAAATTCACTAATCCTATACGGATTTATTTTATTCATCAGTCCACCTTCGCAATTAATGCTTTTAGTTCTTTAGTCATAATTGTCGATTCAAATTGAGTCATGAGAATACAATTTTTGAATGAAAATTTACGCTAATCATGTACATCGGTATGTGTATTAATGAAAAATAACGCGTTAATATAGCTTCGACCCTCTACCTTCCATAATTCCATAACCAATAATTCTCCATACAATTTCATCCAATTGTAAAGAGCCTTACGCGTAGATACAAACGTAAAATAAAAGAACTTTCATTCCATTGTTCTGGAAATCCAATAATTCTTTTCTTTCAAACGCATAAGCAATTGATTGCGCAGAAGAACGAAAATAACACAGAACTTTATTATCTTCTGTTTCTATTTATTAAATTCTCTCCTTCTGTCCTTCTTTTTGATAAAAAATTGTAATTCCTTGTCTGCTGATCGCTTATAAATGAATTTTACCTTTTGTTAACGCGAGGGCAGTCTGGTGACTGCGTCGTATAGATCAAAGCTCCTTAACCTTTTTTACGTTATGATATTGCTTAGGGAGAGTCCAACAAAGAGGCTTTTCCGTATTGATTCTTGACACTCATTCAAAGGGCCCCCCCCCCCCAGATCAAAAGCAGCTCGATTTAATTCAGTCGTTATCACAATTTTAAATATTAAGTAAATAGAAAATATCAATACTCGATAAACCAAATATTTTTGATAAATAGATATATGGAAGTTACTTTATAGCCTTCAATTAATCAAATTAAAGGAAATTGTGTTAAGAATAAATTAACTCCATGTGAAATTGGCTGGGCAACAGATGGAATAGATCCTCAGAAAGAGTAATTAGAATTTGACAAGTTATTAATAAAACGAAAGAAACTTTTCGGACAACCTAATAATTTATAACTTGATTTATAACTCTTCATCAAGTAATACATATACAATATTTTATGTCTAATGTTACATTATTGAATTGTGTACGATTCATTTTGCTCCATTACTGTTACAACATGAATGTCTATGAAATTAGATAGTCTATTTATATAAACACGACCACAAAAAATAATTGAGTGCAAATTACGAAAGAAACTTTTGGGACAACCTAATATATTGAATATACATTAATATAAGATAAAGTGACAATAGACAATGAGTTTGGTATTAGTTAATGACAGTTATTTTACTTCTGCCTTAGATACTAGATATAATATTATTATTTATAAATCTTTAATATTTTCTTTCTGAAGAGGCCTTTCATCATAGCCAAACACATTATCAACAATTGAATAAACCAAAAGGCCACTATCGTATTTTATTTTGATAATAATCATAAATTCTTAATAGCAAAAAAAAAAAGAAAAACAAAATTAATTCGTGACTCGAACTAGACCAATCTTGTGTCTCTCTTCGTCAAACAATTCCCATTTTGAACAATTCTGTTTTCCGAAAACCAGAATGATGAAAGTAGTGTTTTCGTGTTGCTCGCCAAGCATTTCCGTCTTCTCGCTATCGGTGCACGGTTCACGCGACAAAGGAATCATTTTCCTTAGGCCATAGCTGCGTGTTCGAAACTGATTCGTATTCAACGCCAGTGGTCATCGGCGTCCAATGCCAATGCGGCATCTGCGGTACTCGAATCAGTCGAGCATTCTTCGAAGGCACACAGCGCGTCCGAGAAGGTCGCGGTATCGATATCGTCTCGCAATATCGGCCAGTTTTGTTGATCGTACCAACCACACGATACCTATCGAGTCTCCAACTTCAACGTGTTCTCGATGCGACTGCGTGTGTGAGTGATGGGGCAAGTGGGTGAATACTAGGTGTACTATAGATGAGACATAGAGAAAAAGATAGAGGAAAGTGGCAAAGTGGTATTCACTGTTTCTTTTTTTTAAATTCAACATTTTATTTATCGACATACAAAGTTCATAAGAAAGTACACTGTATTAGATACGATATGATAGCTTGACAGATCTGGGCAAATTTTAAATAATTTATTTCAGACCGTTATTTGAAAACAAAAATAATATCAATTTATTTGAAATAATAGCTATTTTAACTAATGAATTATTTGGTCATTTTTTTTTTTTTTATTTCAAATTTCACGAAAGAAAATAGTATGTGTGTAATCATATAATGTTTCAAATAACGTTATTTCAAAAGTGATCCCAAGTATGAGAATAACTATTCCATCAACGTGTATAAAATAATAGTCTAATACAAATAAAATAAAATATGTTCTTTGGCATAATATTTCCATTACTAGTATAAAAGTAATAACTACTGCATCAGCCTCTCATAGTCAACATAGATGTATATTATTATATAACGTTTTATTTGAAATAATTACACATTATGCATTCATGTTACAACAGCATATGAAAAATATACGATAAACATAATCAAAAAGTATATACACCTATATATGGATAGCGTAATATCAATTAATAAATATACCCAACACGAATATTTTCTATACGCTTGTCATATTAGTATACACAATACATAATATAGCTTCAAAAACGCCCAAGTCTGATAGTTGCGTCATATAAAGTCGTCTCGCAATATCGGCCAGAGTTTCGTCGATCGTGGACGATAACTATCGAGTCTCGAACTTCACCGCGTTCTCGACGCAACCTGGTGTTGCGCAACGTTTTCGCTCCAGCAACAGATTGCTTCTCATAGGTATTCCTGTTTGAACGTGTCCGCGCGCGTTGTTCCCACGAATAGTTTGCGGAAGAGAAGCGTACACGGCTCGCTGAATCCCGACGCTTCCTGGATAGCGGTTTTCGAGCACCTCCGCCAAGTGTTCCCGCAAATTCGTCGGAATCCGGACGAATCCGATCGAGAGACGCAAGTGCGAAAAAAGAAAAAAAAAACGTTCTGTACGTCGAGTACTGGGGATCGTTGGTTAAAATGTGCTTCATTTGTTGCCTGTTGATCTCCATGTTCAATTACTTTCTGATCGTCTGAAGAACACTCGACGAGCAACGATCATGGTGTGACGCGGATGAGCTTCCTCTACCAGATGGAAAATCGGCGATAGACGCCCAAAGGAAACTCTCGATCGTCGATAAGCTTCGCGAAGATTCCCGAGGACGTTCCATGGACCGTGAAAAAAAAGTTGAAACTCGTTAAACTTTCCACGGGGAGTCTCCTAGAGTCGAGATACGAGTACACGATACCGATACACACGCTCGAGAATTTTTCAAGAGTATCCACCGAAACGGTTTACGGTTTTCTTTTTTGCGTGTGTGAAGGGGGATATATTTTCTGCAGCAAAATGTTGTTCCGTCGGCAAACTAGCGAACCGACCGGAAGCGTCGCCAAGAGCCCTACTCCTAGCTCCATGGCTCATAGTACCAGCTCGTCTGGTATCTTGTCGAGTTGGTATACCAAAATAACGACGAACGTGAAGAAGCGACAGCCGTTCAGTCCAAAGTCTCTGTTGAAGAAGGCGTTGGTACTTATTGCTATTTTCGTTCTACGTTAATGTGTGGTCTCATTGTTTTGTTCCGTGTCGACGTGAAATTTAAAGCGACGTGGCGAGAGGGTGAAATTACTCGTTGTAGGGTGTGAGAGTAGGAAGTGGTGATTTATTGGTAGATGTTTCGGGGAATGATGAAAAACTTTGGGAACGATTATTTTAATTTTGGTTTAATTATAGGAATTTAATTATGGCACGTTAGTATCTCTATGGTTGTAGATTTATGGGAATGAGAAAATTGTATTATGGGTATGGTGTTGTTTGTGAGTCCTGAAGTTGTTACGTATTTGCGAATGAAGATTGGACTTTTGATATGGACGTACATTTATGATATACATTTCTTGAAAATAATTTCAGTTTGACGATAATGGTTGAATTGAAGTTAAACATCTGATATAGACACACATTTACAACGTAATTTCTTTAGAACAACTTTAATTTGATAATAGAAGTTGAATTAAGATTACACATCTGATACCAACACATATTTACGACTTAGACTTCTTGAAAGTTGACCTTCTGTGACAAACACATATTTAAAACAAACTTTTCTTGATAACAACTTCACTATAATGAAAGTGAAACGAAGGTTGGGTAAAGTTTAAACTTCTGGTATGAATCTACACTTATAAAACACTACTTGGAAACAACTTTAATACGATGAAGGTTGAATGCAGTTTAAACTTGTTTACAAGAATATTTTGTAGGTCGTTTATTCCAAAATAAAATGCACTATATGTACAGTACATGTGCAACTATAAATGTACAAGCATGTGAGATACTAGCAAACATCTACCAACAAATCTAAGTTTTCATATTGTTTTCCCACAACTTATCACTTTCCCTCGCCACGTCGGTTTAACATTTATCTCCGTTTTACTTTGCACGAAACTGTAACACGTTTGAGAAAAAAAGGCGAAAGATTGTGAGATTCTGAGAAGAAAAGAAAATTTGTAAATGTTTTACATTTCTCTGAAAAATATTTGGGATATGTACCTTGTATCTTCATTAATCTTAGTTAACTGAATATTCGAAAGCATAATCTTTCAATTACTCTGAGCAGTATCAATGAACTACTCAAGAGAACTAATTCTTATCAAATCATACTAATTTTATGATTTTATTTTTCAGCTGCCTGTCGTAGATCCTTTCCTGGAGAAAGTATCGCTCTCTGATCTTGGTGAGTTTTATTTTTGTCAATTCTTCATTTTATATTATCTTTCTACTAATTTTCTGGAACTGCAACCTAAAATACAAACTAATATTTCATACTTTCAGTATAAATTATTTGTATATTAAATATCATTAGCGGAGAACAATTATAAATTATCTATATTCTGAAATAAATGGTATAATCCAGAACGTAATTTTGTAGTGATAAAATATTCATAAATTTAGTAAATTTTCTGCGACAATGTATTTTAAGCACTGGCAATTCCAGAAGATTTAATACAATATAAATATATAATTGATGGAAGTCCCTGGAAGCGATTAACCTCTTCAGGAACAAATTATTTTGTTCAAAATAAGTAAAAATTCAAATGCCCATAAATTCATATTGGGTTACATGCTTGAAAATATTAATTATGAATGAAGTGATTAGCATTAAAAATATAGTTTAACTTTATTAAACGTTTGATGTCTGGACATGTGTTAAATTTACAATCTATTTTCTTTAAAATTTGTATGATTCAATGTATGGTTTACAAATTATTACTGAAAGGAATCCACAGTAAGGATCAAGTTGTTCAACATTTAATAAAATTAAACACTGCGCAATATTGAAATCAACAAAGAAATAAATTTTACATGTACCAGTATTTCTGAAGAGGTTAAACGATTCTGAAACATTCCTTTTAAATTTTAAATAGAACGATGTCACAATGTCCCTCACAGAAGAACGATCCACATTTGTGGGTGATTAACGCGTGTCCCTAACACACTTTAACACTAAACTTACCACACTGATACAATTTGGTTTTACACTGATTTTAATGGAACTATTCACACTTAACAGACACTGACCTGAACGTTCCGTCAACGGGAATAGCGTGAATAGTTCCATTAAAACGCGTGTTTGAATGTTTTGTCGTGTCGGTGCTGGTACGTGCCGTTGCCGGAACGTGACGGTCCGTGTCGTATAGTCTGAATCGACCTTTATTTCGAGCTCGAAACAAATTTCTCCGTCCATAGAGCACAGATTCGGTGACAATATCGTAACAAATGGCACCCACCGACTTTTCGAATCTTTTTTGTTTCGAGTGCATTAGTTGCACCGTGTCGCGTCTCGTTCCATTGCTCGCGCAATCGAGCACCTTTAGGCGGCAAAGTGCTTTCACGAGAGCTTTCCCAGAGAAAGATGGGAGCTGGTAAATCGATGGAGCGGGTAATGTATTTATAAATAAGTGGCAATGCGTAAATAAGTGGCGCAGGGCGAGGCTGGGCAAGTTACAGACCTGTAAATTGGATTGGTACTCGTTAATACGTTGTCCCACGACGTTTAATTGCGTTTAAATACGTACCATAAATTAACGGCTGTCGATATCAAATTTATTGTACTTGGAGGATCTCTGTACATCTTGGTCGTAATCAGAACAACTTTCTTTTTATAGGGTAGTTTTTCAATCGCGCGCTAGCTATTCATACTGTTTATTCATTACTCTCCAACAATTTGTTTTGGAGCCATTTTTAGAATTTAAAAATGTTTGAAACGAATTCAAAATATTTGGTACACTCCGTACATGTTGATAGTAATTGAAGCAACTTTCTTTTTAAAGGATAATAATCTTCCAGTCGCGTACGTGCTATTTATAGTATTTATTTACAATTTCGTAATCCTTGAAATAGAAGAATGTAGAAAAACACATTCAAAATTCAGAAAAACAAATTTTTACAACTTTAACTTGAACAGTTTATAATTTTATACCGGTTCGACTTACGAGATTTTTACAAGAATCTTTTCTTGAAGAGCATTTGATTTCCTGTAGGAACATACCATTTCGTAATACTTCTGTTATTCATTCTCAATACATAAAAATCCGAATGTTAAAGCTTTTCTTTATGATATATTAGGTTGTCCCAAAAGTTTCTTTCGTTTTATTAATAATTAATATATACACAATATTTTATGTTTAATGTTACATTACTGAATTGTGGACAATTCATGTCGCTTCATTACTATTACAGCATCAATGTCTAAGAAATTAGATTGTCTATTTATAGAAACACTGGCACAGAAAATAATTGAATGCAACTCACGAAAGAAACTTTTGGGACAACCTAATATTTTAAATCGAAGAATTCCACTAACATAAAGAACGTCTGATATCTCAAATATTTCTGTATAAAATGATCAAGTTTAATTTTCATCGTTTTTACCTGCAACAAAATTGTATACGTTCTTAAAATGTGAATAAATATGTGTGCAAAAGCTTTCATAAAAATACCTTATAGATTAAAAACAAATCCTCAAAAAAGAACTAAAAACTGACGCTGTAGATAAGAATATACCCCCTTAAAAACAATTATTTAGCAAAGCGTACGTTTACTCCACGTTTTATTAAATCCTCGTGACAAGTACACCTGTAGCTCTTTTAGCAGAGTATCGACTCGAGGCAATTACGTGCTCGAAAGGTGCACGAGCTGGGGCTGCGTCGAGTGTAAGGGAATCATAATAATCGCCTACCGGGCCACCGAGAAGTGGGAGCTTTCACATCAAACCAGGAAACGCTTCCCACGTGCTCGACGATCCGTTTACGTAGATTCCACCTTGAAATCGCGATGTACAGGGTTACCCCGGTCCTCCAGTATCCTTTCAGTATACACCTGTCTCGCGGGTGTATGGTGCCGATCGATGAATTCCCGGGAGGTCCAGCTTGCTCCCGCGCACCGGAAACAGACTGGAGGATTCACGAAGGCTGGGAATCGGAGGGAATGGGGGGAGGGCACGTTGATTCATGAATAGACGAAACACGGAGAATAGACATGCGTTCGGAGACCGAGAGACACGATTCCTGGGTGAACGGAAAAGAGCAGGAAACGAAGGAAGGAACGTGTGATGGATATGGAGAATTTATTGTGTAATAGTGACTATCGATAGTTTGTAATCGACGGGCTTAGTACTTTATTCGATAGATTGAGTAGTATTTATTTTCGATTCTTGGCATTGAGGGTTGTTTGAGATCGATTCAACAAGCTTAACATTTTATTCGGTGGATTGAGTAGTATTTATTTTTGATTCTTAGGTTTGAGGTTGGTTTGGAGATCGATTTGTTGGTTTCGAAACAACAAATGTTCTAATTGAATTTTAATTGCAATTTCTAGGGGTGAGAATTTAACGTACACGACGATTATAAAAAGAACTTTAAGACTTGTATACCAACATTTTTCACTTATTTGCACCAAATTGATTTTACTAAACCAAATTAGAACAAATGCAACATCTTATCTGATCAAGTAATAAGAGCAAAACGATTAATAGTTATCACAGACAATAATAGTTACACGAGACATTCATTAGAGACAAATAGTTATATAATAAATATTCACCAGGATCATTATTAAATTTAAAAAGATGATTATAAAAAAAGAGTATGATTTGAAAAAGATGAAATGGTTATTACACGTAGTTATTTATTGCCACGTTTGTTTTATCGAATAGTTACTCAGACAGGGCTCTATTTACTTGACGTGAAATGTAATTTCAACAACATAGTTAATTATAGCCTGAAGAAAAGCATGGTCAATTTACGATCTTCTTTGACATGATGCGTTAACATAATTAGATCTACAAGACAAATATCTATTTGTAAAATTATTCGATAAATTAAGAAGAATAAAAAAAAAGACCAAAATCAAAATTGGAATCATCCATTCTTATATTAAACGTGTGAAAATAAAAAATATAAATTTTGAAATAAATATGGATATAATATTTTGTAGATGAACGTACATAAATTATGTGATATTATAGTTAAAAAAAAAATCAATAGAAAATACCATATACAATTTATATAATTAAACTAACACATACAGTTTCATTGTACAAATATCGGATCAATAGTTGTTTCCCATATTGGAAACTTTCATCTAGATAATTTCGCCCCTTTCTTGTGCAAAGAATCGATGAGCTAGGGAAGGATTAAAAAGACAATAAGCGAAGAAAACGGAACACGGTGGCGTGGAAAAACGTCGTGCCGGAGGGATGAAAGCTGAGCTTCGGGGATAAGGTTGGGTGTACTAAGGTCGACAAGATTGCATTCTACGACGCACTCTCGCGCATTTGTATTTAGGTCTAGGTCATGGGGCGGGGTGCGTTCGATAACACGGGAACTCGCTAAAGCGTAATAGAATTTTTGTTCTCCATCGTTCACTGATATCGAAACATTTTTCAATACGTTGCTCCTACGCGTTACGGGCGACACGCAGTGCCAATTATGGAACGGTTACTCACCATATAGGAACACAAAACTATAGTGAAAAGGGAAATAACGAACCTCGGTGACGCAATAGTGCTTTCAAACATTGATTCTCCACCCAGTGTTCCGTATAAATGAATTCTGTACTACTCAAAACGATATATTCACTTAAATTATTCGTCGGTTATAAGGATCCAAGGATAACCGTAATCGCACCTATAATTTAAACAAAGTACAAATAAAACTAGTCCAAGGAAATTTATTTGTGATATTTATTTGAGTGGGCAGTGAACACTTTTTTTCTTTGTAAACAAATGTTATACTACTTGAAACTATTTAAGTAATCGGATAGTTGCTTATAAGAGACGACTATAAGCATCCCTTGGACATTTTCTAATAAGCAACTTTCAAATTTATTCATTAAAGTATTGAAATATCTCATCTATGGGTCGTCGAAAGGAAAATATCATAAATTAAATTTAAATTAATATTTTCGATAAATTGGACTTGCATAACTCTAAAAGTACAAGTTGATGGGCAAATTGAAATAAAATTTAAAAATCCTCCAGTGCTTAGTATGAATAAGTACACTATTTTAAAAAAAAAAAAAAAATTGTCCTATATACATAGTTCGGTAATTTATTTATGACGCTTATTTAATTTAGCAGTTAAATATTTATTCTTCCTTCTCGTGAAACATATAATTCTCTACTTCGAGTCCTGTTCTCTTGTTGAATTCTGCGTGTGACGAATAAAAAGTCAT